TGCCATGCCGAGATAGGCCAGCCACCATCACATCTAAATTTCTTTAGCTTTCAAACAAACACATTTTTTGGCATTTCAGATTTACCGAAAACGAAAACGTGCAATGTGCATGATCTTCAGTAGTTGGTCACTTGAGAGTAAGCTCTAAGAGGGAAGCGAGAGTGTATTTGAAAGGATGTAACTTCGTAATCTGCTGCCACAACAACAGGGCGCTGTTTTCACTATACAATTTTGAATGGTTAGGATAAGCCATAGTAGACCGTGATTAATAGCGGGACTGAAAATTAGCTCCATGTTATTTCGAGGCACATATAATTTACTGTAAATCGACTTTTATTTACTCTCGTTGTGAATGATCGGTATCTACGTCTTTCATTTATAAGCTAAAAATGAGTGCCTTATAAACGGGAAAAAGATAGCGTTTGCATTTCATTTATATGTTGTAATACTTTTAAATCTTTTCTGTTGTTTGTTGTACGATGATGAAATCTATACTGTGCACAGTGCTGCAGAGTAGGACGTCCAGCCTTCACTGAGCACCACTTTGAGATCCTGTGGTCCACATGAAGGATAAAGGATAAAGCTCTCGGCGTTGATTAATCCCTGGGAGAAACGCCATGCATTTGACTTCATTAGGAATCGTTGGAGGTGATTGAATATATATCTGGCCTTTACAGTGACTGGCCTTTCGATGTATTAAGCCAGCATGCTATCCTACCAGACAAGTCTAGTGCCAATCGGCGGACATTGGAGAACTGGAGGCCTTGGTGTACCTGGGGCGCGGGGATCGATCCCATGTTTATAGCATGGAGCCTCGACCTCTACGCCACAGGCACCCCTTCGTATATATATATGTATATATATATATACATATATATTTACACATATATTTGTACATATATAAAAGCGATACTAGAGAGTCATCGCAGGACATATGATATTCAAAAGCATGGCACTACTAGCAAGGTTCTATTTTTATATCAAAGTATTGCTGTCATCTCACCCAGAACCACACTCAAAGCAGCAGCTCATGATGTCGTCCGCTGAGAGTTCAACCTAAAATCATTCGTGAAACTTTAAGAAATGTTTCAATTCGGAATCCATGAAACCGTCATACCGTCTTATTGCCGTGCGAAGCGATGCAAACACGGTCTGACATAGCCTCTGCAGATGAGATAGCCCAACAAGAGCCTGCAATCATCAAATCGCATTATTACACTTAATTTTAACGTTGAATTTGGAAATTAATTAAAATGTCCTCACCGCATTGTGACTGGTCACGGATATAGGAAATGGAAGGGCAATGAGGCCATTTGATACGAGCGTCGAAGCTACAACCACTTTNTTCATGGTGATATTGTAATCTCGACCGCTTATCGGTTTTTGCAGTATACACAACCAATGAATAATACCTTTGCTCTAGCTTTGTTCGCTAACCCAACGTTGTTTAGACCACAACTGATTATATCGTAATGAAGTGAATGACCACACTAGAAGAGTTATCTGCTTCATTTTTTTTAAACACTCTTTCAATCAGTTAGCAAACTATAGGTCTCATTTACCTATGCGGAATTTTGGTGCCATCGTCTTCAGTATCATCCAATCGGGGTTTCTTATTTCGATTGACGTACTTCGATTTCATAACCTTCATTCTTAACGCCTCAATATCAGCTCTATCTTCGGCCTAAATTTGTCTGCTTTTCTAATTTGCTAAAATAAAAATAGTACTTCCCTTCGGCAGCAGTACTTGATGGGAACTGTTTGATATCTTAGAAAAAATTCGGAGAACAAAAAATTGAGCATCTAGCTGTGTAAATTTGATATTTCGCTCCAACTAAGTCAACATTGTATCCAAAGCAAGAAGTGCAAAAATAGCTTAGTCTTTAGGAAGTGTCAACTGTTGAAAAGGTTTTCTTTTAAAAAAATCAAGCGTTACCTTTTAAAGCTGCTGGTGTTCGTTGAGGTAATCGACAAGTTCAGAGCCAATGAGAACCTGTGGCTCTGGAGTAATCACACTGCCTTCCTGCTTACCTGTAATTTTGTGATATAAAGCTAATAAGCGGAACTGTTCACGCACTTCCTTAAAAATCGGCAGTCGGTTGTTGAGTAATCGAGTGCGAGGCTAATGCAACTCACCAAGAACATTTCTATCCGGTAATGCGGATACCCACGATAGTGAGACGATTAGAGTAGCGGCGGTTAATCTCTGAAGAAATTTTGTGCCTTGTGAACAAACCATTTTGCAAGTTCTTTCATATTAATGAAGGAAAATACGGAGCCTGGAAGGGTCAAGTTGACAGCAATGAGTTGACAGCAGTGAGTGTGCAGAGCTATGCTAAATGTGATTGAAATCTTGGTTTAGTGTTTTCTCTGTTTGGTTATGGAGGTGTTTGGCCGAGTGAATCGCTGTCAACTTGACCCTTCCAGGCTCTGAGAAAGGCGAAATCCACCGAAACGTCAGCTCGTGCGTAAATAAAGGAATAAAATAGCACCTCGTGTTTGCTGAACAGAAGTAGAAAGATACATGTCCAATCAATGCCGAGGATAATAGGAAGTCGGACTTGGAAAATACAGAGTTCGAAAAAAGTTAAATTCATTCTAGTTCTCATTATGAGCAAGTCCAACCTTTTTTTAAGGTAACAACTACTGTCACAGCAGTTTCCTAGACGCTCTGTGAAACACGTCACACATTGCTGTGTTGAGAAAATGACATGGGAGTGATAGTCTAACACTCTTTTCGGAACGCTGAATAAAGGTCAAAGCATATGAAACTCTTTCGGAAAAAATCGAAATATTACCGGGTTTCATTTTTGAACATCGAAATGAATTTTTGGAAAAACGGCTACGTTCCGCAGTATCGTGAGAAATCAAAACACGTTGTTTCATCAACTTTCTTCTAATCCTTCATGGACAAGTGTTTCGAACACGCATCCACGCCCAGAAGAGAAGATGGGCACTTCAGTCACATTTCATGGCATTTTCTGTTTCCAGTGGAAATGAAACTGTAAGGACTCAGGCTACAGTTCACAGAAAAGACCTGCCTTGAAACGAACACTCTGGTACAGATAAACTCCTGTTTTGTCCTACAAAACAAGTAAGCACAGCTAATGAGCGGTGTTTAAGAACATCTTGTGAATAGAAATCGGTGGCTGTTATGGAACTTCCACCAAACGGTCTACGGCGGTAGTCATTGCGAAGACGCTTCTCTATTCACAGCATGACGACAAAGACTGGTACCCATGAGTAGCAGTTCAGTGGCTTTCGTGGTCTTTTCCAAGGGTTTGGAGTAACTATATTGTCGAGGCGAACATTTCGAAGACTTTATGTAAAGATCTATGGTTCACAAGAAAAACAAAGTAAAATGCTTTCTGAGTCAACCAGGGGACCAATGCTTTTAATGGCAACTCAGCAATTAAGAAATTTTCTGAAGGGTATACTGTCATAAACTGCCAAATGGAAAGGATCAAAGGGTGACTAACAAGACCACCTTAAGCAGAAGATTTCGCTTTCCCACTTTTATTACTTGGTTCTTTAAAAAGACGTGTCTAAGGGGAGGATGTGTACTCGGCAAATGCCACTTTTTTCAAACCACTCCGAAAATCATGGTAACGATATTGGGAATTATTGGATTATCATTATATCCACCATCAGCATCGTGTATAAGAGGGCATCACCGAGTAAGGATGCCTCATTCGAGGAGATGGCTCACTGAAGAAGACCTGACTCGACACGAAGGCGAAGCTGCCACGTCAAGACGAATAACAAGCGAGGACCATCGACTCGGATCGCCGGCTCTGAGGAAGACGAAGACGTCGAAACGTTAGCCGAAAATAAACATCATTATCGACCTCGTGTAAGCTTATCAAAAAAAGAATAGATATTGGGAATATCTGTGCATATATTCTTACAATATTAACATCGACGTTAAAAGAGGGGTTAAGCAAGGTGATACCACCTTTCCAAAATTATTTACCGCCACCCTCCAGAACGTCATGTGAACATTGGAATGGGATAATATGGAATGAAGGTCGACGGTCGGCAGTTGCACCATCTTCGCTTTGCTGATGACATCGTCTTTATAACACCAAACATTAGCTAAGCGGAACGTATGCTTGACAACTTCGATAAAGCCTGTGGAAAGATTGGTCTTTGACTAAATCTCACAAAAACGATGTTAATGAGGAACGGATTGGTTTTGTATGCCCCATTCACGCTCAACGGAACGAATGTCTCCGAATGCTACAACTATGCTTATTTATTTTACTTATTATTTATTTATTTTAAAATCAATACGATGAACGACCGAGCTCCAAAGTTGAGCATAAGAAAACGAGCGACTGGGGGAGTCTCCAACAGCATCGAGGATGTGGCGACGAAAACAAAGAACACCCGACTCCGCACCTGCCTTCTCGACTAAACAGTACTTCCTGCCCCAACGTATGCGTCAGAAACTTAGTCACTGCGTAAGCAGGATGAAGCAGCCACTCAGCGTTATCGAACACGCAGTCGAAAGGACGATATTAGGAGTATTCCGTTTCACACAAGTAAGATATGGAATCCGAAGCTCTGATCTGCGTCAACGATCAAAAATCAAAGATGCCGTTCTGTGCACCAAGCAGTTGAAGATAGAGTGGGCCGGACACATAATGCGTAGAATGACAACAGATGGACAAGAGATGTCAGTGGCTGGATTCCTCGGGATGTCAAACGCACGGCAGGAAGACTGCCGACCTTATGGTCAGAATTCTTCACGAAAACCCTACAGGAAAGACATGATGCCCAACGAGTTCCTAGAGTGAGCAAAACCCACTGGACTACTCTTGCAGGCGGCAGGGAAAAATGGAAGACTTACTGGGGTCGCTCTTTGATGCGAGTTTGATATAGATGTTCTTATTGTTGTTCTTGTCGTTTTTTAATGTTTGATTTTTTTTCGACTTCATCTTCCTCAAATAGTCAGATATACCTATGCTCTCAGGAAGACGAAGACGTCGAAACGTCAGCCACTAAACCACGACGACAACTATAAGAACATCTATATCAATCTGGTTTCAGCTAAAAAAATTGCAGTTCGTAAGAACGTATATGCAGATATGTCGACTGTTGTACCAAAGTTTATAGATAGCCTATCTTTTGAGTATTCGGAGTAGGTTTACAATTGCTTTAACATGCTTTGTTGTTACAGTTTCGGATCCGTTTTCTTTAGTGAGTGCGAAAGTTGCAAATAGAAGGTGGACTTCTAATGTTGGAATCCTCGCTCAGTAAAGTGCTCTGCGTGTCACCATTATCCCTTGAGCTGTTGAGGAAATTAAAAATTTGGTTTGAGAACGATTGTGGGGTATCAATTCTTCCAAAGAGAAAGAAGACACAGACCATAGCAGAACCATTTCGGCTTTAAGTAAGGTTTATACCGGGAATAAAACGTGGCCCTGTGTTTGAAAATCTGCCTATCTAATGGTGAAATTACCCAAGTGGAAAATGCCCTACGATTAATCATAAGGTTGTTTGATTTCTCGTTGGGCTTTCATCGTTGGAAACAGGCAATTCATTGCACCAATGCTATGCCGGTTACCTTTTTTCAGATAAAAACAAAATTACGTCGCTAAAATTGAGCGCAAGTCAGGAGTTGTTTCATTTAGAACTGTTTCATGTCAGCAATCAAACCAACCATTATGAACTAGGAAGCAACTCACCATCTCAGGAAGAAAGGATGCATTTACCTTGACGATGACGAAGTTTTATACGGAATTCAGGAATTCGGCAAAATTCCTTTGCTGCGCTGATAAGAAGGAGGCACAATGGAATTTCAGCATACTCACTGTATTTGAAAAGTGCATGATACAGAGACCCACAGTACGGTAACGCACACTACTCCATTATTTCAGTCGCAACCTCGTTTGGAAAGGCGAAGTCAGATTTATACCGACTTGCCAACTTATACGAACGCATTGGAGCTCCGTAAAGAAGGAATCGCTTGAAGCGAAGGGTAGCGAACAGATGACGAACTGGCGATGGCAAGCCATGCATTTCTTATTCAACGGTTCTCTATGCGGCCAGAATGATAAAAAACAATACAGGTTAACGAGGCGTATAAAGACCAAGAACGCTTTGTCATCTATCTCAGTCGACTAGATACTTCTTCACATCTTTCATTGCCTTCAACCCCCAATTTCCGATACGCTTGGATCGCCTTCGAACTAAGCGCAAAAATCTTTTAGCATTAAGCATTGAATGCTCCAATTAAGTCGCTGTCTGATAGTTTACAGTCAACATCGGTTTTTCACAGCTTTGTAATCTTTCCACAGCATATAAGAAGTGCACATTGAACGGAATAATAAATCACTGCTCCTCACTAACGTATTGCCGCTTTAGTTTCCATGGGAAAATCGTCTCTAAAAACTTTAATCAGGGAACAGGTGTAAAAAATAAAGGGTAAGCCACTCGGCGTTGATCAATCCCCGAATCACCGAGACTTCGATTTCACTAACCATTTCTTGTAGGTGTTTGAATACATATCTGGCCTTTACAATGACTCGTAGTGGCCATACCGATGTATCGAGCCAGTGGTGCTATCCTCTCAGACAAATCTGGTACCAGTCCTCAGACCACGGAACGATGGAAAGCATTTTAGCGCAGGAGCGCGGGGTTCGATCCCATGTATGCGATGAAAGGTTTCTCCGACCACTGCACCACATGCGCCCATTAGAAAGCAGATGAAGCGCTAAAAAATCATCACATTAATTCTCATTTGTGTCTTACAACGCTCGACGCTTTTGCCGTTCCGTGTGACGTTCCGAATTCGTTCCGTTTACGGCAAAAACTTTATTCTTTTCAACAATGGTTAGTCCATAACCATAAGAGCGCTCAGTTTATTTCCGATGGAATTCGTCTTCGGTTCAGTGGGATAAAAATGCCAGCAACGGAAACAGTATGTCGAATAGTTTTCCTTGTGTATACTCAGATGTCTGGCCACTAAACTTGTAGAGAATAAAAGTGGCTCCAAAGTTTTGAGGAGTCGTAAAGGAAATGGCTTCCCAATTTCCTCAATACCATCAGTGTTTCGTAGCGTGCACGTAAAACATTCGAATGAACAAGTGATGCATAAAAGCCCAGACTAAGTGGTTTGGACGTTCCAGCTAATATTCGAT